ATCATTTTATATCTAAAGTAAAGCATAATGTACAAAAAACAAATAATCAAATATAAAAATGTAATGAACACATTTTTATATTTGATTACATTTATTAAAACTACAGAAGCAGTTCAATGAAGTGCAGGAAGTGATTTCCTCTTTTATTGTGAGATTAACATCGAGACAGACGTCCTATACTGTAATGCACGGATCTAATATAATGTTGCACATCAGATGTTTTTCCAGAACAGATTGTTTGCATGAATACTGTAATTCTGTATGCATTTATCAGGATCGCGCAGCGTTATATGCACGCACTTCGGATGAAAGTCAGCGTGAGAAGCGAGCAGAGAAAGGTAATCCTCTCAGAAAATGTACAAAAAGATAATTTTAGATGTTTAATCACTACTTGGAGCATTTTTCTTTTTTTTTTTTTGCTTGTATCTAAAAATAGCCAGTGCGAATTTACACATTTTGCCAGCACGGGTCACATGACGTCATTAAACAGCAGGAAAGTACGTGTGTGTAATCTGCCCAAAATAATGAAACCATCCGTGATTAACTAGTGGAAAACCTCCCCTGGCCCTACACGTTTGGTATCTGCTGGCTCTGTGCGCGAGAGCTGGACTGTATCTGGTGATAACTGTTATCAACTGATAACAGGTAATGCTCTCACGCAACCATTCAGATTAGAGTAGCAGACTTTAGTCAGGGTAGTGCCTTTAAAAAAAAAAAAGGCTGTGAGGGACAGGAGTACAGAGTTTTCAATGGGTTGTACAGTGTTACGGCCAAAGCCATAACATAATGGGGGACAACATAAAAGGCTCGGTTCATAGGGAAATTTATTTAAAGTAAAGGCTTAACGTAAAGTGGGGAGAGAAAAGGATCGGGTAAACCAAGGAGAGTGCAGCTGGACTGCTGCTGGGAACGCCGCCGCCTCAATCTGGTCAAGAGACGTCTTAAAAGCCCGCTTAGTCCACAGTTGTAGGGAACCTAATCACAAAACAGATACAAAATCAGGTTGAGAGTAAAAATCAGCAACTTGTATCAATGATGACTACAGGTTCAAATCTAGAACTAGTATGAAAATAGTGTTAGTTACTAGGGGTCGATAGGTTTTTCAAGGTCGATACCGATTATTACAGATCAAGTAGACTGAGAACCGATATGTCTGATGTAAAAATGAAAATGTCAATTAAGAATAATAAGGGCTTTGACACAAACTGCCTTCCCTGGTGTTGGTTGAGTGTAGTACTCCCACTGTAAACGCTTTATTTTTTTTTGGTGAACAAAGGGTTTACCATTAATTAAAACATGGAAGAAATGGCGTATTGTGGATTTTATTCTTTTAAATAAGTTGTTGTAGTCGGGGGTTAAAGCAAAAAAAAAATTGACTGAATTTATCCTCGGCCAAACCCCGTTCCTCAGCCATACCTGTCACACACCCAGTTTAAGAGCAGTGTTTTGTAATCAAGAGCGCTTGTCCTCCTAATTTAAACAATTCTGATCAATCAAAAATTCTGATATTAGCCTTCCTAATGAGGTGAAGTGATTAACGGGGCATTTTATTTTTACCTTTTGCAATGGCATTTTCATCTGTAAAATTCTAAGATTTATGTTTAAGCTTTTTAAAATTTATATTTAAAACTATACAAGTAGAATAAGACAAATAAGTTACCAATCATGAAATTAGTATTAATGAGAAATTAATTTGTACTACAGAGGTGGCACAGAAGAACACAAGTGGCTTGTAGGTGTATTTTCAGACATTCAATGAGGCTCAGAGGTGGCATGAGTGCAATTCAATTCATGTGGAGATTACAATTTTGAATACAGAAATATTACATTTAAATAACTGCAATTATACCTGAAACTGCCAGCAGGTGGTGGCAAATCACAGATTATCACTGAATCATTCATTCAATTGGTTCGTTTGAACTGCTTGTTCATTCAGAAATGAAGCACGTGACTGTCTTTATGAATGGGTAATCATGAATCACAACTGGGCCAACTCAGAGCTGATTTTGCTTGGGGATTTAAACTGGGATTGGACATCAAAAATATCCGATCCATTCAAGCACATTTGTGACTCTCTTTGTTTGGAGCAATTGATTAACTCCAACCCGGATAAATCAAAGATCCAAATAAATCTTCACTAATTTGTTATTTTAACTAATGCTCCTCATAGATTTTCTGCAACTGGAGTTTTTTTGTAACTATGTTAGTGATTATTGTGCAATAGTATGTGTGAGACCATGTAGCCTTTTTGTGGGATATTTATGAGCGATTTATTTACGGTCTCATTGATATCTGATGTTAATTTAGCGTGGGAGTATTTTAAGTGTGGTTTTTTTTTTTTTTTCGGGGACTTAAACTGGGACTGGTTTTCTCATATATCTGATCCTTTCAAAAGTATTTGCAACACTTTTTGTTTGGAGCAATTGATAAATTTACCCACACGTTTAAATCATAAAGATCCAACTAAATCCACGCTTCTTGATGTTATTTTAACTAATGCTCCTCATAGATTTTCTGCAACTGGAGTTTTTTTGTAACGATGTTAGTGATTATTGTTCAATAGTATGTGTGAGACCATGTAGCCTTTTTGCGGGATATTTATGAGCGATTTATTTACGGTCTCATTGATATCTGATGTTAATTTAGCGTGGGAGTATTTTAAGTTTTTTTTATGCAACAAACATGCTCCTGTTAAAATAATTAGGGTTAGAGGCAGAGATAATCCCTGGTTCAACGAGTTAATCGCTTCTCGTATTAAAGAGCGAGATGCTGCATGGGCCACAGCAAAGAAAACAAATAACCATTTGGATTGGATATGTTATAGAACACTAAGAAATAATTGTACAAAATTAGTTAAGAACTCTAAATGTGATTTTATTTAAACATAAGTGAAAATCTGAATGATCCAACTAAATTTTGGAAATTGACCAAATCAGTCTCTGGGCTAAAATCTTCTATTAGTTTACCTGAATATTTAAACGTAAATGAAAGAATTATAACGGGACAAGAAGATATTGTTAATGCCTTTAATAGTCACTTTATTGCTGCTGGTGTAACTTCTGATGTTAGTAATTTAGCAGAACATAAAACAAAAGGGAGTGTTGATTTGTCATCCTACTCAGCTTTTTACTTTTACTCCTATTTTAGTAGCACAAGTTCACAAAGCTCTATTAAATTTAGATTGTAAAAAAATCAGCAGGGCCGGATAATATAGAGCCTTATTTTTTAAAAATTGCAGCAGATTGCATAGCGGAACCAATTACTGCTATGTTTAATTTAAGTTTAACTTCAAATGAAATTCCACATGCATGGAAATCAGCTACGGTTCTCCCTTTGTTAAAAGGGGGTGACCCTTTTGAATTAGACAATTACAGACCTATTTCAAGGCTCAGTTATTGCGAAAGTATTTGAATCTCTTGTAAATGACCAAGTAAAACTGTTTTTAATGGAAAATAATATTTTAAATGAATTTCAATCAGGTTTCCGCTCAGGTCATAGTACTATTACAGCTGCTATGTTGACTACAAATGACATTACATGCCTAGATAATAAACAGTACTGTGCTGCTCTGATGATCTCTCGAAAGCATTTGATTCTGTAGATCACAATCTTATTGCAGAGACTCAGTTGCTTGGGTTTTAGTAAAATGAGTCTAAATTGGTTTAAGAATTATCTGACAAAGAATGCAGTACGTCTCAGCTGAATTTCATTTCTACAGAATTAAAAATAAATAAAGGAGTCCCACAGGGATCTACTTTAGCTCATATTTTATTTTCACTTTATATAAATGACCTAGGTCAAGAGAGAAACACGACAAAAATCAATTTATATGCTGATGACATGTATTTGTTTATTTAAATATTCATAATGCGTCCGTTTTTATAATGTAAGATTTGTGTATTTTGGTATGTTTTGGGCATTAACCCTCAACAGATAAGCTCAGGCCGGTTGGAGCTGTCTGTTTCAAGTCAGCCCTTGATGGGGGTGCAGGGCTTGTTAGTGTTTACTATTGTCATTTTGCATTCTTGACACTATTTTCCTAATTAATGCTGTTCAGTTGCTTTGTCACAATCTGTATTGTTAAAAGCGCTATATAAATAAAGGTGACTTGACTTGACTTGTATTGTTTCAGGTCTGATCTCTCCCTGCATCTTTTCTCCATCTGTCTTTTCACTCTTAATAATTTCTCACTCCTTTCTCTGGCTTTGTTTTCTTTCGTGCCTTCCTGTAACTCAGCCTTAATTTTCTCTTGTCTCTCGTGTTCATGATCTCAGTCATGTTTTCATCTCTCGGACTTTCTCAGACTCCGTCAGATCATTTTCTTGCTCTTTCTTCTCACACAGATCATTTGAGTTTTTTTTTTGTGTGTTTTTTTTTATTTTTATTTTAACCAGCGGCTCCAGTCTACATTCCCCGAAGTGTGACAACATCATGAAGAGTTTTCCAGTCTTTGTATGAGCAGAAGGCCAGATGACAATCTGCACACTGAAGTGGGGGAGAAAAAAAAAATTTACCAAGCCATAATCTTCTGAAAGGAAAGCAAATGATACTGTTCTATATTTCTTTGCGGCCTGATGAAACATACCAATTTGCAAAACTAACAATGCATAGTTGATGTAAAAAAACTTGATGACTTTCCTACTGCTAAATTCTTTAAAGAATTCTGACCAAAAACCTCTGCATGTAATAACCTAAAACAGAAGAGAGGGCGTCTGATATATTAATATAACCCCATACCTCCAATTCAATATTTACATTTTGTTCCTATATTTTGACCATGAACGGTAAGCTGCTCTGCCCGCTATAGTATTTGCTCTTCTTTGTGTCTGTATTCAGTGTATTTGACTTTTGCTAATGTCCTGTTTACAGACTCAGGAGTGATGTATTTTTCTTTATCACTGTCCCAGTAGCTCCCGAAAATATCTGACAAATGGGTACAAAAATGGAGAAATGTATTTGTAGTTTTTTTTTTGTTTGTTTTTTTTTTTAAACCGTTTTTTTCGGGAGCTACTGGGACCGTGATAAAGATCTAACGGATCGCGATCGACGGGTCGGTGACCACTGCTTTACACTGACACTGGTCTGGGCTTTTGATTGTGCTGACCTGAAACAGGAATTAGAATGCTAGACTCTGAGGACTCCAGTCTGGATGAAGGAAAGGACGTCATGAGGCACAAGACTAAGGTGAGTAGAGCAGATTGACTAAAGTGATGGGAAGACCGTGCAGCCTAGTGCGTTCAAGAGAAGAAAATTAGAGCATTTGAGGTAAGGAGGTGAGGGGGGAAGAGAAGCAAGCGGATAAGATAGAATCAGAGGTTCGTGGGTTTGATTGTGGATGCAGAGAAAAGTGATTAAGTGAGAGGCGACCGTGATGAGAGAGAGAGGACTGAAGTGCTGGTGGGTAGGTGGTCACGAGAGGGTGTGGGAATGTTTGGCAAATGAGGGGAAAGGTAGGAAGATTGGGAGAGGCGGGATTTGAGAGGGCACAATGAAGCGTGGCGAGAACAGGACGAGATATGATAGAGAGTGGGACGAGAGAGACTGGGAGAATGGAGACAGGATGAGTCATGAGAGAGTTGGAGGGACTCGCTCGCATCTCATCCTGTGTCTTTTCTCCAGCTGTCTTTTCACTCTAAATCATTTCTTACTCCTTTCTTCCCCTTTGTTTTCTTCTCTCGTTCCTTCCTCTAACTCTGACTTAATTTTCTCTCCTTGTCTTACATTTGCTCCTCGCATTATCTCTAGTCTCCACCTCTCTTTTTACCTCTGCTGAAGTTCTCTCTTGTGTCACCTTAATCTCTCACGCTTTCTTTTTCTCTCCATCTTCTCTCGTGCTTGGTCTTCTCTTGTTATATCTTGTACTCGTGTTCTTGATCTCAGTCTCACGTTTTCATCTCTCATGCTCTGTCTCTCCCTTTTCATCTCTTGGACTTTCTCAGACTCCGTCAGATAATTTTCTTGCTCTTTCTTCTCTCTCACACAGACCATTTGAGTCTGATTGTGGTTTTTTTTTTTAACCAGCGGTTCTACATTCCCCGAAGTGTGACAACATCATGAAGAGTTTTCCAGAAGACCAGATGACAATCCGCACACTGTGGCTTGGTAAATGTATATATTTTCTCACTTCAATCTTCTGAAAGAAAAGCAAATGATGATACTCGGTTCTATATTTCTCCGTGGCCTGATGAAACATACCAATTCGCAAAACTAACAATGCAAAGTTGATCTCTGCAGTTGCTCACGGGCTTACAATGACTGCTGTCAGTGAAAACCTTCTGAGGTGTTTCTGGTCAATTTGGGACACAGATGGACCTTCAAATGGGACTTAAATATACCATGGAGGGATATATAAAAGATATTTTAATATGTAAAAATACAGATGACAATGCAAACGGGAGAATTGTTACGGTCGTCACGAGTACAAGTACCCTTGGCACATTTTTCCCATTTTTGTAGCATAAACCCCATTAAACCGATGCGAGCTTCGGATCTTCCAGTGTTTCTCTATGGCGCTGAAACCTACAGATGTCTGAGTTCCGCTCCGGTGCAACTGATACTCGACTGCCATTGGCTCATCTGCATTTGAGGGGAGTGGCTTACAGATGGGTCAATTGTGCTGTAACGGCTGTCCGCTATGTCGGTACATTGACGAGTGCTCTGAACTTACACCGCACTTTTTTTTATTTTTTTTTTTATTTTAGTCACATGCGCACTTGTGAAGGTTTTCCTATGAATTAATTAGTAGAAAAGTCCATTTCTCCTGTGCATTTGTGTCCCTTTGTTTCTGGAGAAAGCAGAATGAGAGCCGGCTCGCATTCCACAAGGTTGTAAATGTATCGGGTTACCATGAAACCAGGGTCTTGTTCAGCGTCCTGGGGTGTTACAAAGTATTTGTGAAATCTAGCTAACAAAATATATATTGTGTGTTGGAGTGTTCCAGACGCTACAAGTCTCTGCTGTTTTTTGTGTTTTTTTTAAAAAGTATATTTGGTGTGAAAGTGATTAGCATGACACCGTGTCTACACAGGGCGTGAGCGAAAGCAAAAAAAAAAAAAAACAGTAGAGCCCATTGATTATAATCAGTGATATTCCCACACTGCATGTGGCGCGGCGCGACACCATGTCTACACGGATGCGACTGCTTGAAGCGACAAAGCGGCCGTTGCAAAGAGCCTGGACTACATCAGGAATAACAGGGAATCCGTTAGCTGTTGGGAATCTCGCATTCAGTGTAGACCGTGTTGATCATAATAAATAGGTTCTGCTGTAGACACTGTAAGTATCATACAGAAGTCTGTTATTAATGTAATTTTGCTTCATTCATTCAGTGATCGGAATCCATGCTGATGTTTGAAAACTCTGTTTTGAGCTGAAGGCACCGTGAACAAACATTACAGTATAACTATAACCATTCCCTTCCGCTTAATAGCCTATAATACCGTATTGGCCCAAATATAAGACGAGCCTGATTATAAGACAACCCCCCCCCCCCTTTTTTTCAGATGTACCTTTTGGAAAAAAGCTTTTTAAAAAAACACGTTTTGTCTTCAATTTTCATATTGCATATTTTTCCTATTTTAATTTGTTTTGAAAGTATGGTAAAAACTGGTAATGTACCAACAATCACATTTAAAAAATATATAAAATTTTTGGTATACCATTTAAAAAATAAATAAATGAATAAATGGATAAAACAGGTAGCCCATCTGAATTAGGACATTTAGGCTATCCATCTAATAGTAGCCTACCAAAATCTTAACAGTAGAGGTTAAATCTTACTGTAGTCTTCAAATCTGGGTACGGTCCTGCGTTTTATAATCACAAAGGGAGTTTTGTCCTATCAGGCTAACGTGACAGTCATGACTCGTGCAGCTGTAAGGTTTTGTTTTTACTCTCGATCTTTACAACACGCATTACATTACGTATTTCATGGCACACTTGTTTTATGCGTATTTGACGCCACCTATTGTTGTGTGTTATTGACATGTCAAAGTCTAGACCCTGAATATAAGACGACTGTTTTTTCCGATGTATTTCCAAGAAAAAAAAACTTCTTATATTCGGGACAATACGGTACATATCGTGTGTGTGTGTATATGTGTATATATGTGTATATGTGTATATGTGTATATGTGTATATGTGTATATGTGTGTATGTGTGTATGTGTGTATGTGTGTATGTGTGTATGTGTGTATGTGTGTATGTATATGTATGTGTGTATGTATATGTATGTGTGTATGTATATGTATGTGTGTATGTATATGTGTATGTGTGTGTATGTGTATGTGTGTGTGTGTGTATGTATATGTATATGTATATGTATATGTGTATATATATATATTCTGAACGATTAATTGCATTTGCGATATCGCGATATGAAAAATTTTTCATTCGCAGAGGCTGCGATTACACGATCATGGGACACGTGAGAGTAAAGAGGTGTGTTCCACTTGAAGATCAGATCGGTGTATGACATCAAAGTACGAGGACATGTCCGCGCTCTCTTATAGCTCTCGCAGTACTCTGATGACACACACCCATTGGTCTAAGCAGCGCAGCTTCAAGTCGAGCACGGGCCATCAGCAGAAAAAGAAAAGAAATAAGTAAACAGCCATAGGACGTAACTTAGAATGGGAGATGGATCGGTTTGTGAAAGCGAAGAGAAAAGCCATAGATGGAGTCCCACAGACCCAGGCAGGTGCTGGTCATTTAGAAGCTAAATGCAGAAAATATGACGAGGCATATCTCGCTCTCGGCTTCGCTCACCGTGTCTATACCGGACGCCGTGCTGCAACAGCTCTACACTGGACGCGACAAAGCTACCGTTGCAAATCATTTTAACTTTGTGTCAGTACGTCATAAATGGAACAAGGCATCAGTTTAATGTCGCGCTGCATCCAGTGTAGACCGCATCACTGATTATAATGGGTTCTACTGTATTTTTCCGGCATAGCCATGTGTTTAATGTCTTTGGTGAGGAGGACAGACTGTGTGTGTACTATGCCTTAGTGGACCGCATGAAGCCCACAACAAATAAATAACAGAAGTTATTCTCTCTATGCTATTTTTCAATGTTTCAAGTGATGCAGGTGTTTTCTGCGATTACACGATCATGGGACACGTGAGAGTAAAGAGGTGTGTTCCACTTGAAGATCAGATCGGTGTATGACATCAAAGTACGAGGACATGTCCGCGCTCTCTTATAGCTCTCGCAGTACTCTGATGACACACACCCATTGGTCTAAGCAGCGCAGCTTCAAGTCGAGCACGGGCCATCAGCAGAAAAAGAAAAGAAATAAGTAAACAGCCATAGGACGTAACTTAGAATGGGAGATGGATCGGTTTGTGAAAGCGAAGAGAAAAGCCATAGATGGAGTCCCACAGACCCAGGCAGGTGCTGGTCATTTAGAAGCTAAATGCAGAAAATATGACGAGACACATCTTGCTCTCGGCTTCACTCACTGTCTATACCGGACGCTACAGTTGTCGCACCGCAACAGCTCATGTGTTTAATGTCTTTGGTGAGGAGGACAGACTGTGTGTGTACTATGCCTTAGTGGACCGCATGAAGCCCACAACAAATAAATAAATAACAAGTTATTCTCTCTATGCTATTTTTCAATGTTTCAAGTGATGCAGGTGTTTTTTTTCCCTGTAGGTTTTTAAATTAAAAAAACATTAATTGTTCATAATGTTTAGTGAAATTATTTGGTAGTCTGAGGGGGGCGCAACCAAAAAAGTGAGAAGCACTTGTCTAAAGTTAACAGTGTTTAAAAAGTGCACATGTTTATTACAGTGACTGTGAACTGCAGAAATATAAAAACAAATCTGTTGCTTTACCACATTACTTTAGGCAATCTACTTTAGTTTGTGTGATTTGTTACTGACTTTCATATTAATGTTTTCACCAGGCTTATTTGTCAGTGCTTTGTTGTCATAATTATTACATGCTTACAAGGTTGGAAGTTCAACAAATCAGTCAATATACTGTGATTGAAGTTTTTAAATAATGTCATTCATATCTTCATGCATCACCTAATTTCATCGTAACATATAGGCCTGGCCTGCAGAAAATAACATTTATATTTAATAGTGTTGGTCATACTATACAATGATTTATAGCTTGTCTTTGTTGAATAATACAGAACATAAAGAGCTTTTAAAAAAATTATTGCATATTAAATCGCAATCCCGATATTGGTAAAAAAAAATTGCAATTAGATTTATTTTCCAAAATCGTTCAGCCCTAATAAATATATAGCATTGTCGATAGGCCTGGCCTGCAGAAAATAACATTTATATTTAATAGTGTTGGTCATACTATACAATGATTTATAGCTTGTCTTTGTTGAATAATACAGAACATAAAGAGCTTTTAAAAAAATTATTGCATATTAAATCGCAATCCCGATATTGGTAAAAAAAAAATTGCAATTAGATTTATTTTCCAAAATCGTTCAGCCCTAATAAATATATAGCATTGTCAGTTCATATACAGTGTGCCTCTGTAATGGCGTCCAGAATTTTTTTTTATTTTTTATATGAATGATAAAATAGCCATGTAAGCTAATTTCAGGTGTTTAGGAGTGTTGGGCGTATTATCAGGCTTGCTGTATGACATGGTTCAATCACTTGCATTTTTTTCCTGTGGAAAGAACTTGAAATAAACGTGATTAGTTGCCTAGAAAAAATCTTTTGGGCACAGGCTTGGCACAAGGATCAGATCAATTTAAAAAAATAAATAAATAAAAAAAATGTATATGACGAACGACTGCAAGTCACGTATTGCGTTGCACGAGTTATCCATGCAAGTCAAATGTTTTTATATTATTTCATATTTTATGTATGGGGGTGCTAGCCCCTAGCGCCGCCCAGTAAAGACTATTTTAGTGACATGGAGGAGTCATACACTAGGCGTGCATGTGTCCATTATTATTGATGCGCAAACAAAAGCACTTTTTGTAAATGATATGATCACTGACCATAACCTAGATGTGCTCTGTGTGACAGAAACCTGGCTAAATTATGATGATTACATAATTTTAAACCAGTCTACCCCCCCCCCCAAGATTACTGTTATGAACATGAGCCACATCCAAAA